AAAAATATATAGCTGTTACTCAGAGGAAGTAATGTTTCAAAAAAACAAGTGACTATTTTCAGCTGATGGTGATATTTTCTTTATTGTAGCTGGTATTGATTTCCACAAGACATTGCTATCAAAGAGCTAAGCTCTGTGCAAATCACTTTGGTATATAAACAAACTCGGATAACAGTAGCATTCAGGTAAGTATCGCTCCTCAAAAATATGCCATCCCTCAGACAACATTTGATGACATCAGCTTTCCTAGCTCTCCAGACGAGAGCAAACTCAGATATTTCATTTCACTTTTGTTAAGAAATGAGATATTTGAAAATTTGAAATGTCTTTGATCCCAGTTATTACTGTTACTGAATTGCAACGGCACGGCAACAAGGCAGTGAAAATACACAGAGGGACAGCCAAAATTTACTTTCTGTATTTTAAGAGTAGTGCTCTCTGCTCACAGGTATCTGTGATATCCGAAACATGATAAAATCAGGAACAGCATATCCAAACTGCGTGCTGGCTAAAATATGAAGCTTCACAGGGTTAACGCAGTAGCTTAGAGAAACAGGGCTGCTGCCCCAAAGCTTATTGCAAGATTAGGGCCTTATTGTTTGGTTATTTGCTCCTATAAGCTACTCTTCTAGTTTGGGGCGAGGCAGGCATCGCTGAGCTACTAAATTCTCTCTTGAAATGAGTTGTTTTGTGATGTTGCTGTTGGGGATTTTTGGTAAAAACAGAATTAATATTTAATTTACAGTTTGGGGGATTTTTGCGAGGATGAAAGAACTTTTGCCGTAGTGGGCTCTTATCCTGTAATAGTACTGTTTTTTTAAAAACTTCAAAAAGCAAACATCAATAAATAAATAAAAATGTCGTTTTCAGTGAAAAACGTCCCCCGGCACAATAAGCTGCAGTGGGCCTGTCAGTGTGTCCTCCATCAGTATCTCCAAAGGATGCTAACGCAGCTCAACCTGCCACGAGCACAAAGAGAAGCTGTAGGATCCGCAGTGTAAGTTTTTGATTGTATGAGATGTAATTCCCAGGACGATCTACAACTGGCATTTGAAAGCAGACATTGTGACAAATGCTCCCAGAGCCAGACAGGGGGACAACTGCAGCCGAGGTGACGGCACTGCGCTTGTTTGCCTTTAGGATGTCAGAGGTGTTGGGGTTAAGCGGTTAACCCAGTTGATAACTCCAGGATGTGTGCCTGGACCCAGCATGCTCATCCCTCCCCCAGAGCTTCTCGGGGAAATTACAAAACCTTCAGCAGCTTAAGAGAAGGATATTGCACAAATATCGGCTCCGTACAAACTGCGCGTGGCTTGCAAAGGCCGGGATTTACAAGGGCGGGAACTTCAGAGTGGGTACCCAACAGGGGTTTGCAGGCACAGTCACCTAAGACACCACACCAGGTCACTACAGCAGAGCCATTTCACTAGTGCAGCACTCAAACCAGACTGCTTTGGGGCTGCCCAGTGTGGGCAGAACAACATTGAATAAAAAGCTTCAGCTAAGCGAAATCAGGAGAGATGTCTGGTGGAAGAGATTTAGAATTTTAGTACAACAGCCCAGAATGCTTTTGGCTGTTACTTCCAGTATCAGATTGCCACCTTGTTACTTGTAAAAACACTCTGTTGCAAAGACTTTTAGATATTGAGAAATACTGTCTTTGTCACTGGTTTTAAAGATTTTCTGCACATGATATTCGTGTTTTGCCTGGGGATACGCTTTGTGCTCCAGCAACCTATCCAAGACAGAAAATGAATACAAAGAGCAAGGGAATATATTTGCTTTTTGTTCCTCAGATGTGGTCATCCTTGTGTAGAGTGAGGCTATTTGACACTTGGGCTGGTGCTGGAAAGGCTTTTTTGGAGTTTATGGTGGGTGAAATTAGCAGAGGGTTGGTGTAAGGCCTTATTAACCGTGGTTCACACTGGATTTTAAAGGTCTTTGCCCTATTTAAACTTATTTATTGCTGGTGAAACAGTGAACTTTGCTAAGAGTATAGATGGCCAATATTGAGTAGTGAACCCAAACAAGCATAGCTTTCAGTAAAGTATCGTTTCAAGCAGTGAACTTGAAAAATGTGTTTTGTATCCTACCAGTTGAACTTTTCTCACTGGGAGACTCTTTGTAACTGAGACGTGTAGAACCAACTAACTTCAAACAGAAGAATCCTGTCTTATTCCCTCACCTTTCCTCCTTCCACGCAAAGCTTATTTTGTACAAGCTCATTCTTGTAATGGTTAGAAAGAGTCGTAATTTCTTAATGAAATTCCTTGCTTCTGACACACACTGTAAAAAATAGCAACCCCTTAAGTAGACATCTGTTTGGAATTTTTGCAGTGTTTATTATTTCCCATAATAGGGCCATAAATTGCCTTCTGCTAGCTGTAATGCGCTAGCCACTGTAACAACTGCTTGCTTTGGGCAGCCCTAGACTTTTGTGCAAGAGTTACATGGAAAGATCAGAATTGGGGCTGGGAGCTACAAGTTGGTGTGAATGAGTACATTTCTCAAATTATAAAATACAGATGAGAGATTTATAAGTTTTCTGCAGGGTCTGGCCCCCGGTGACTGTGAGCTGGAAAGAGGACTGTAGTTATCTGTTGCAAAGAGAAAGAAATTACCATCTAGGACAAATAAAACAGCAAATAGAGGCAGAAGCTGTGGGAAGGAAAATAAGAGCAAGCTGCTGACTACAGAACAGCCTCATTGAAGGTTTGCAACCTGGGAGCTTACAGTTATGTATATGTTTCCCTGAGATTGCCACAGTGGGAGGTGGTGCGAAGCCTAAGAAAGCTGGAAGCCAAACCTGAGAAGGAAAGGTTGGAAATAGCTGTGTTCCTCTGGGATCTGATTAGCCCAGAATAGGTGGACTGAATCAGGGGACCAGGCCCTTCAGTAGCTGAACTGCTGAAAGCCTGGCAGGGAAACCTGAGGCAGAATAGCTGTAGTGTCACATCACATGGCAATATACTGCAGATCTGCATCCCGCTAAGTTGAACTACTTTTTATCCCTTGGAGAAAGGACTCATTAGCCCTTTTAATTATTTTCCTAACCGCTAGAACTCCAGATGCCATTATGTTATGTAAAATGACAAATGTATTTTTAACTCGTAAAGCATGTGAACTTTAAGCTCTTTCCAGTGATACAAATACAGCTCCATTTCAATGCATGACTCATCTTCACATGTAGGAAAAACTCAGCATTTTACATCCCTATAACGACGCTCTGTGCCCCAGCGATGAGCGACAGTTGCTGTGGGAACCATCACCCTTGATATCCTGACTGTGCATACAAAAGTGCAAAGGAATACCGACTGCTTATTTGGCAGAAAAAAAAAAAAAAAAAGTCGCCTTTAATATCAGCACCGACTGTTTTGGTTAACTGCAGTGCCCAAAGGACTGTAGTCCGTCCAGTACCGAATCTCAACGCACGGCTCCATAGCGATGCCCTTCCTGCTTAAAGCAGGTTTTAGACTGGACGTGTCGAGCCTTTCCCCTTCCTAAACCCCAGCGATGGGGGGTCAGGGGCCGCCGGTGCCCCGGGCC